GAATACTTAAGTGTTTAGGATATACGAGTATTTGTTACTTCTCATGGTGAGTTGAATCCTTAAGTGTTTAGGATATACGAGTATTTACTACTTCTCATGGTGAGTTGAATCCTTAAGTGTTTAGGATATACGAGTATTTGTTACCTCTCATGGTGAGTTGAATACTTAAGTGTTTAGGATATACGAGTATTTGTTACCTCTCATGGTGAGTTGAATACTTAAATGTTTAGGATATACGAGTATTTGTTACTTCTCATTTACATCCACATACAATTCACTTACCTTCTGTTATGCTTGAATTCTGGAACATAGTTTCTAAAGTGTGGTGAGCATCTTTAAAAGTAGGCCTATCAAGAGGCTCCCACAACCAGCCTGTAACACAAGCAGTATAAATTATATATATATATTAAAAAGAAATATCAAATCAACTTAAGCATGAAAGTAATATAATAAATAGACTCTGGCTTAATTTTATATTAAAATTTCAATGGTGACACATATCCAACTTTAAGCTGTTACTAGCATTTAAAGATCATATGTGTTCAATTCTAGGATTTACATACTTTTCCCTGACATCTGATTCTAATAATAGCTGGCACAACAATGAACAATATTTGAAATGAAGGGTCTCTTTATCATACATATTTTCATAGACATATTGGAAAACAAAACAGTTTCAAGTACAGTTTTCTAGGTACAATCAAGTTGGTATTACAGTGTGTTATCATGTATGTTTCTGTAACATGTAGTGTTCTGAATCGTGCTTTGATTATAACATAATTACTAGAGCTGGACGATTAGTGAAGTTTGCTGAGTGATTAATCATTGGGCTCCTTGATCAATTACACTCAACTAATTTATTATTTTCATGAGACTTCAGTAGTTGGAATAATCAAAAACCATAATTATCTAATACGTTAATTTTGGTTAGTAATCAATTTACTCATAATTTCAAGATCTAATAATTACTGATGTAAACATATGTAAATATATATATTGTAGAAAATAAAGTCCCAAACTATATATATTAAAGTGTCCTACCTATTAAAATGATCAGCTCCCATATTCTCCTACAAATTGGATCTCTAAATTCAACCTGCCAACCACACATTTTTGAAAGAACCAAACCACAGTTAAATTTAACACTAAACAATCTAATCACAATGTAGTTGTATCTATAGAGAAAAAAAAATCACTTACACTGTCTCATTAGTTCATAAACCTTTGGTGGACATCCCGGTGGGCACTCCATTCGGTAGCCAGTCTCCAGCATATGATAAACGTCTGTTAGCTCAACCCCAGGGTAAGGAGACATTCCATATGTGGCCAGCTCCCACAGTAAGATGCCAAAAGCTATAGACATGAAGAAAAATCCATTCTAGTGAATAACTTATAAGTATTACAATCCACATAGATTAAACTAAATAAACAGAAGCCAGCAATAGCAATCAACTGTAATAAATGCACTGCCTAATTTTTAAACATGGACATGTTTTAATTCTTCAGTGAATAACTGAAAAATTAGCAAATATATTGTAGCATTATGATACACTTAATATAAGACTGCTTTAACCTAAGTATTGTACACCATAAAAATTAGAGGTAATCAAACAGTTGCACTAAAGCTAACAGCTACATAAGAAATACTAAGAACTGCATGAGTAATATAGCACACCAACAGCTCCAAGAGCAGCGCAGCATACAAGCAACTGCACGAGTACTATAGCACAACAGCCGCATGAGCATTACAACACACCAAGAGCTGCTTGAACATTATAAGCACACCAACACTTCCATAAGCACTATAGCACACCAACAGCTACATGATCACTATAGCATACCAACAGCTACACGAGCACTATAGCATACCAACAGCTACACGAGCACTATAGCACATTAGCAGCTTCAAGAGCACCATAGCTTATTAACAATTGGATAAGCACATCACACCAACAGCTGAATTAGCACTATGGCAAAGAAACAGCTTTATAAGCACTACAGCACAATAACAGTTGCATTAGCAATATAGCACACCAAAAACTGTATAAATATTATTACAAATCAACAGTTGCATAAACACTATACTACACCAACAGCTGCATGAGCATTACTGGCCACTAAACAACACGAGAAACAGAGGACACTAATAGCTATATAAATACTAGAGCTCACAAAGACCTACAGGAGTAATAAACAAAGCTGATAAATGTTTTATCCTTACAATCAGTAAGCCTTACATTACAATGTGTGCTGTACTTGTACAAACAATAAGATATAAAAAGACATATTTTTAAACACATTGCTTCAAATGTAAAGAATTGTTACAGCTTCCGAAAAAAAATAAAATAATAATAAGGGTGTTGTGTGGTGCATCCTTTATATCCAATAAAGAAAAATAAGTGATTATTCTTTTGAAATTCAAGTAAATATTATTCTCAGTAAACAATTATGAAAGATATAGGGTGATGGTTATCAAAAAATTATCGAATTTAGTTGATTCAGTGCTTCCTTGTAGTTTATCTAGCTATAGATGTTAATCAATTTTCTTTAATTAAATTCACCATTTTTTTAATTTTTTCTTTAGCTACAGACGTCAGCCAATTTTTTTTACTTCTTTTAGTTTTATACATAGTTATAGATGTTTAGCCAATTCACTTGTTTAAATTTCACACACAGTTATAGATGTTTAGCCAATTCACTTGTTTAAATTTCACACACAGTTATAGATGTTTAGCCAATTCACTTGTTTAAATTTCACACACAGTTATAGATGTTTAGCCAATTCACTTGTTTAAATTTCACATACAGTTATAGATGTTTAGCCAATTCACTGTTTTTTTAATTGTATATACAGTATGTGTTTATAACTTATCATATTTCCATTTAACTAGATTTTCTAATACACAAACCAATTTTAATCTGCACCTCATTTACTCTAGTAAGCTGGACAACTTATAATAAAGTATTAGGTTTGAATGTCTCAATTTTCGAAGAACCACTAGAAGAAGTTCTCATGATCTGAAGATAATGTTGTTCTTCCAGATAACACACGTGAAGTACTCATGAGCTGATGATGTTGTTCTTCCAGATAACACATGTGAAGAAGTACACATGACCTGATGATGTTCTTCCAGATAACACACGTGAAGAAGTACAAATGATCTGATGATGTTCTTCCAGATAACACACGTGAAGCACTCATAACCTGATGATGTTATTCTTCCAGATAACACACATGAAGTACTCATAACCTGATGATGTTATTCTTCCAGATAACACACATGAAGTACTCATAACCTGATGATATTGTTCTTCCAGATAACACACGTGAAGAAGTACTCATAACCTGATAATGTTGTTCTTCCAGATAACACATGTGAAGAAGTACTCATAACCTGATGATGTTCTTCCAGATAACACATGTGAAGCACTCATAACCTGATGATGTTGTTCTTCCAGATAACACACGTGAAGAAGTACTCATAACCTGATGATGATGTTTTTCCAGATAACACACGTGAAGAAGTACTCATAAGCTGATGATGATGTTCTTCCAGATAACACACGTGGAGAAGTACTCATAACCTGATGATGTTGTTTTTCCAGATAACACACGTGAAGAAGTACACATGACCTGATGTTGTTCTTCCAGATAACATATGTGATAAGTACTCATAAGCTGATGATGTTGTTTTTCCAGATAACACATGTGAAGAAGTACAAATGACCTGATGATGTTTTTCTTCCAGATAACACATGTGATAAGTACTCATAAGCTGATGATGTTGTTTTTCCAGATAACACACGTGAAGAAGTACAAATGACCTGAAGATGTTGTTCTTCTAGATAACACATGTGAAGAAGTACAAATGATCTGAAGATGTTGTTTTTCTAGATAACATATGTGAAGAAGTACAAATGACTTGAAGATGATGTTCTTCCATATAACACACGTGAAGAAGTATACACGACCTGATGAGGCTATTCTTCCAGATGCAACTGAAGGGCAATTCAAAACCAGGTGACATCATTCTTCCATACACATTTGAAGAAACACTCATAATTTCAAAGCATTGTTTTTTTTCTTCACAAAACATGCTTAGCCCTCTAAGGACTAGGAAGGTGTCACATATATCCCATGATTTTTGTTCCTTTTCACAATGGAAATACTTAACCAAACTGTGTGAAAGTAATGATACAATTACAAAATATAATCTAGTTTCAGCTAAAAAAAAATAGCTTTCATTTGATTTAGTTTTGCTTTCATTTTTATGTTGTTTTTGTTACATTTATATTTTTTTAATGTTGATCAGAAAGTTCAGTTTTATTCATCCAATCAGTTTCGATGTAACAGACATTCATTCACATAATTATTTTAATACCTTATTTTGTCAATTATAGAAGTCATGACTTCTGGATATAAATTGGAAGAAACACAGCAAAAACTGATAAAGATTTATCAGTAACTTGAAACCTAATCTGTCACAATGAAATCAGATTATGTAACAATATTTTTGCTAACAATATTCTTGGTTGAAATTCTTTAATATCTAATAAATACACTTTCTTTTCAATACATTATAAGTTTTTGTACTTATGTGTAGTGTTTGATTAAATACAATAAACTTAACAACAATACTCAATGAATAAGAACCTGAGTCACCCGATCATTTTGCATTCATGTACTGTACTCTCAGAACATAATAAGGATTACCTAATGTCATAAAAGAAAATTTCACAAGCTTTCAAACAAATATAACTTAGCACAATATTTTCCTGAATGAAAATAATGTCTAAATAACTTTGAAAAATTCCCTGATCCCTGGTTTATTCCTAAGTTTTCTAAACTTCCCACTACATTCTGTTGTTATATACTGTCCACAAGTTACGTCATCACTTTTTAAAGAAACTATAAATTACTTTTTAAATCATTTTATTCACTCTACATTGACTTAAATAACTTATAGTCTGCTCTACCCAATAGTATTTAAATTTTGCTATTAGCTATTTTAAAAATGGAGCTATCCCAGTAATTGTTCTCGCCACATTATGATGTCATAAGTGGGTGGGAGCAACTGGTTGTCCTAACAAAATCAAAGAAAGATAAGGAAAATCATGAGGAAAACAAAAGCATGATAGTTTCATAGCAAACACAAGTCTATGCCTTCAAATGCCTATAAATAATAATCATGTACTTAGTATGTTCTTCAGAAATAATGTACAAGAATTTTCTGGAGGTAAGGTATGTAACATTAATATATCTGTACAACTTCTCACAGTTACATAGACCTTCTTGCAACATCAGTTAATCAGATAAAACAAATCTTACGTGTTATATAAAACAAATTAATCAGAAAGGGAGAGAATAATCAGAAATAAAAAACTTTTACGACACAAACCAAAAATAGCAGCTTGAACTGTATATTTAAAACATAAACAGAGAATAGTAATTCTCTAAATAATTATGGACCACATTTTATTAAAATATGTAAATCAATCAAAGTATGATGCTTTAGAGAGAAATAAAAGTGAATTTAAAAACCACACTTTGAACAATATTCTTTTCTGAAAATACCCAATATTATTACATAGCTTCACATGTGTCCTTGCCAAGCCATTTTTCTCCATATGACTCTTAAAACTACTATATTGGAAACTGATATATATATATATTATGCATACATTAATATACTAAGCACGTTATAGGACTAATTTACAAAGAGCAAGTTAAAGATTTAGTGAAAAAATGCAACTTTGAGCCAAAATGAAGACAAATACCTTTAAAACAAGCTTATGACTTAATCAGTATCATTACTTCTTTCATTTGTAAGTAGAACTCACCCCAAACATCAGACTTGGTAGAAAACTTATTATAAGCAAGGCCTTCAGGAGCAGTCCACTTAATTGGAAACTTGGCCCCAGCATGTGCAGTATAAGTGTCATCTCTCATCAGTCGAGCTAGACCAAAATCAGCAACTTTTACGAGATGATTTTCTCCCACCAAACAATTTCTTGCTGCTAGGTCCCTATGTATGAAACTACGGGATTCTAGATAAGCCATTGCTGAAGCTATCTGTGTAGCCATGTACATTAGCACCACGGCCGTGATATCATCGCGAACGGCGTTCCTGAGAAAATCCAGCAAGTTTCCATGGGGCATGAACTCTGTGATTATGTAAAATGGTGGTTCTCTTGTACAAACACCTGGAATGAAAAGTAATGATAATAATTAACTATTTAAGAAACATTTTCATTTGTAAAAAGTTAAATATTTTAGATTTTTCTGTTTCACTATTCAAACCTTTGTATTAAACACTATTTTAACTGTCCAATCAAGTACATAATGCAATAAGATTACAAATGTGGCAAATCAAAAACAGAGCTATCTAGTAGTTGTTCTCACCACAGTGTCGTAAATGGGTGGGAACAACTGATTGTCCTAACAAAATCAAAGAAAGAGAAGGTAAATCATTGGGAAAACAAAACCATAATAGTTTCTTAGAAAATACAAGCCTATGCCTTCAATCATGGATTATATTTTCAAATTTGACATTTGGTGCAAAAGACTAGAAACCTGTAATATAATCATTAAAAAGTTAAGCCACTGTATAATATCATATAATAAATTAGGTACAATTCTAAAACATTACTGACACACCTAAATTAACATAAGCCACTATACCGAGTTGAAAAGTACTTACAAAACCACATAAAGATGAAAAGTAACATAATGAAATAGGTGAAAAATGGTGAAACCTTCTTAGTTAACTGTAAAATAAGTATGATTCAAAAATTACAGTTCAAAACTTCTTGATGAAGCATGTATGCATGTTTTTCATAGCAAAGCCACATCGGGCTATCCGCTGTGTCCACCGAGGGAATCAAACCCTTGATTCTAGCATTGTAAACCCGAAGACTTAGTGCTATCCCACCAGGGGACCTTGATGAAGCATGTATGTATGTTTTTCATAGCAAAGCCACATTGGGCTATCTACTGTGTCCACCGAGGGAATCGAACCCTTGATTCTAGCGTTGTAAACCCGAAGACTTAGTGCTATCCCACCAGGGGACCTTGATGAAGCATGTATGTAGGTTTTTCATAGCAAAGCCACATTGGGCTATCTGCTGTGTCTATCAAGGGAATCAAACCCTTGATTCTAGCATTGTAAACTCAAATACTTAGTGCTGTCCCACCAGGGGACCTTGATGAAGCAAAACTAGGAAACAACACTATAGGTCCAGATACTCCTAACAGTCCATAATCCTTTTAACAAAGATTCTGCTGGTCTGTGAAGTAAAAAATGTTGAGAACCACCAACCAAAGCAGAGGACCTGTGTCCCGAAATATGGAGAACAGTTCAGCACATGATAGTTCAATATTCAAAAAGACTAATTTCTTTTTAAGCACATTGTGCTACTATATATATATTAAAATTAACAAAAATGATGTTTATTAGTTGTTTCAGCTGACTAGTTTCAGTGGTGCAGTTACCATCATCAGGGCTCGTGAAATATTGTGTTATTAACCCTTACTCTAATCCTGATTTGTAAAGGACTTAAAAAAAATTGATAATAATTACAATAACTAAAATCTAGTCCACACTACAGCAATTGTTGTTCGTGAAACTGAGGATATAATTCCATGTCGACCACTACTGTGTCTGTTGTTTCCCAGTCAGCCTGATGAGTCCTTGTATTGGGCGAAAGGCCTGGTGGCATTGAATATGTGTAGAAGAACCCAAAATATTAAGTTTTATAAGATTAAGATTCAGGAGTCTAAATTCATGCACGCCTCCTAAATATATGCATTTACAAGAAGTTACAATTATCCAAGTTAATATATATATACACAGAGATGAAAAATAACATAAATGTAAATCATTTTGTCTTTTTTTTTGCTAATTTATAAGCAAATTAATATGAATGGTTTAATTTTTTCCTGTTAATTCATATGTAAGCTACATATAAAATTCACACTCTTACATAGGCCACAGTTTGTGTGTGACGAAATAAAAACTATAAATAATGCTACAAACTAGAGTTCATTTAATTTTGACTCTTACAGGTAAAAAAACAGTAAAAGATTTTTTTGTTGAAATGGAGAGTACATAAACAATAGTTTTCTTGTATAAAGTTTGTGTTTAAACAAAGGAGATTATACAAAAATAATCAATAGTTCTTTTGTATATAGTTTGTGTTTAAACAAAGGAGATTATACAAAATAATCAATAGTTCTTTTGTATATAGTTTGTGTTTAAACAAAGGAGATTATACAAAATAAACAATAGTTCTTTGTATAAAGTTTGTGTTTAAACAAAGGAGATTATACAAAATAAACAATAGTTCTTTT